GGGGTGGATGAGATTCGTCCTGGATATCTCAAGGCTCTGGATGTTGTAGGGCTGTCCTGGCTGACACGCCTCTGCAACATTGCGTGGACATCGGGGGCAGTGCCTCTGGAGTGGCAGACCGGGGTGGTGGTCCCCATTTTCAAGAAAGGGAACCAGAGGGTGTGTTCCAACTACAGGGGGATCACACTCCTCAGCCTACCCGGTAAGGTCTACTCCAGGGTGCTGGAGAAGAGGGTCCAGTCGATAGTTGAACCTCAGATTGAGGAGGAGCAATGTGGTTTTCGTCCCGGACGCGGAACCGTGGACCAGCTCTTTACCCTCGCCAGGGTGGGTTATATATATATATATATATATATATATATATGTACAAACACACATATATACACACAGTACTGTGCAAAAGTTTAAGGCAGGCGTGAAGAAATGCTCTAAAGTAAGAATGCTTTCAAAAATATAATGTTAAATTGTTTATTTTTTGATCAATTTACAAGATGCAAAGTGAGCGAACAGTAGAAAAATCTAAATAAAATCAATATTTGATGTGACCACCTTTTGCCTTCAAAACAGCATCAGTTCTTCTAGGTACACTTGCACACAGTCAGAGATTTTGTAGGATCATAGTCTGGTGTATGATTAACCAGTTATACCAAAGAGGTGCTAATGATCATCAGTTTCATGTGTAGGCTGAAACGCAGTCATTAATTGAAACAGAAACAGCTGTGTCAGAGTCTTAAAACTGGGTGAGGAACAACCAAGGTCTGCTACCAAGGTGAGGTTGTGGATGACAGTTTCATGTCACAGGTCATACACCATGACAAAACTGAGCACAGTAACAAGACACAACGTAGTTATACTGCATCAGCAAGGTCTCTCCCAGGCAAAGATTTCANTGTCACAGGTCATACACCATGACAAAACTGAGCACAGTAACAAGACACAACGTAGTTATACTGCATCAGCAAGGTCTCTCCCAGGCAAAGATTTCAAAGCAGACTGGGGTTTCAACATGTGCTGTTCAAGCTCTTTTGAAAAAGCACAAAGAAACAGACAATGTTGAGGAGCAGTGACGCAGCGGTCAGCCGAGGAAACTTTGTGCAGTAGATGAAAGACACACTATGCTTACTTCCTTTCGAAGTTGGAGGATGTCCAGCAGTGCCAGTGGTCTTCATGGAAGAACTGTGACCAAAAAGCAAAACATCCGATGTGGATACAATGCCAAGAGACTCAACTATGCACAAACACCCAGGAGCAGAGGTGCAGTGAAACATTTGGCTGTAGCAGAAGGCAGTTTGTGCACTGAAAGTCTGGAGAGCGTCATAATAATGTCAGTCTGGAGGCAACAGTGAAGCATGCTGGAGGTTCCATGCAAGTCTGGGGCTGCATTACTGCAAATGGTGTTGGGGGTTTGGTCAGGATTAATGGTGTCCTCGGGGCTGAGAAATACAGGCACATACTTATCCATCATGCAGTACCATCAGGGAGGCACCTGACTGGCTCCAAATTTATTCTGTAAGAGGACAATGACCCCAAACATACAGTCAATGTCTTCAGGAAATATCCTCAGCATAAAGAGAAACAAGAAGTCCTGGAAGTGATAGTATGGCCCCCAGAAAGCCCTGATCTCAACATCATGAAGTCTGCCTAGGATAACATGAGGGGACAGAATTATTTGAGGCAGCCTACATCCACAGAAGATCTGTGGTTAGTTCTCCAAGATGTTTGGAACAGCCTACCTGCCAAGTTCCTTCACAAAACTGTGTGTAAGTGTTCCTAGAAGAACTGATGCCATTTTGACGGCAAATACTGATGAGCCTTTGGGTATCAGGTGACATTAACTTTGACACCATCAAAGATAAGTACTGGCAAACATAATAAATGTGTAATTTTTTCTGACCTTATCAAAAGAGTATATCAAAGACAGATCCAAAAAGGTTGACTTATTACAGTATGAGTAGTCATAAAAATCACGATTCCCAGCAATGAGATCTATAACAGATTACTAATTAAGTTTGCCTTCATAATGTCATGTCATATCTCAGGAACAGAAGGGGAGACATTTGGTCAGATACTGAATTGGTGACTCTAATCTTGAAACTGTGCTGATTGTAAATATCTTCTGTGTGTGAAGCATCCATGTTTTCACTGACATGGATGGAAACTGATGGACAAACTTAACAGGTTAATGGAGGTATACAACCATGAGGCGATAGTTCTACTTAGTTTCTCTTTTAACTACATATATGAAGCCATCATGGATGTCATGGCTGGTTTGGTGTTCTGTGTCAACACTTCCACAGAAATGTGTGGATAACGTTTTGTTTTTATAACACTGAGCAGCTGCTCTGTGTTGCTAGACGTTATGGCTCACCTATTTTTTGTATTAGGCCACTGTCTAAACTGCTGAGCCAGGGTGTTCTTGGCCCAACATCATCACTAGATAAATTCCAGTGAGTCAGTTCTTCCTGAGCTAAGTAAATTGTTGTCATTGAGCGTGGCCTCTGTTCCTGGTTTTATAAGAGTGTGTTTAAGAGGTCTTTAACACTTCCACACAGGAAGGCTGAAGGTACACACCAACACTGGGAAGGACGAAGATAAGATCATCCTGCAGCAGGTTTGCTATAAACTATATTATCATTTGCTGTCCTTTATTTAATTTATTAAATATTTATTTATTTATTTGAAAGGATGCCAGATAGCTGATGCCAGTGTCACCAGACAGTCTTGCTGGCATCCAAAATTCAGTATCATCCTGTATACAACATCGCATTTGTGTTGCTCTGTGTTATCACATGTGCACCTCTAATTGTGTTATTTAAAAAAGCGGTTGTTCAGATTTTTTCAAGAATCGATTCTGATGTACTTTTAATTACAATGTCTTGAATTCATTTGCCTCAGAATTAGTCCATAAATTAGCCTCAGGAAACAAAAACAAGACAGTACATGACCAACACTGGACTATTGATGAGTTGCTTCAGTAATGCATTTTTCAGTTCTATCTGAATGAGGATTGCTGTAGGACTGACGTATATAACGGGGGATAGTATTCTAATAATCCATACGATCATTCAACAATTAACTGCTAAAGGCGGTCATGAAACATAAAACCAGGTGGAACTGGTAAAATCCAGTTATTCATTGATCAGGAACTTAGATATTGACAAACACAAAGACAAAGTGAACTTCCAAGGAAAACAACTGCCTGTGGGTATAATCAAAAGATTATCTTAAAAATACGAGTAACAAGTACTCTTACCTAAATAAAACCAAAATGGAGCTAAAACCTCACCAACTGACCTTACCTGCTGAAAAACAAAAACAGTGAAAACAGTACGCCTGTTCGTAGTATTTCACACAAAGAAAATGCCTTCTACTGAAACAATCTATGATCTTATATTTACACAGCACTGAGCAAATAATTTTGAGGCATGCAAGCTTGATTTGACTGTGTTTGTACTAAGCCAGACTATGTCAGATGAGCCTTTGGGCATCAGGTGGCATTGACTTTGAGCTCTGTTGGCCCAACACCATCAAAGATAAGCACCGGCAATTTTTCCTGACCTTAAACAAGGCATATCAAAGACAGGACTGGATAGGCTGACTGATTAACGTATAAGGCAGTAATAATATTACTTTTCCCAGTAACGAGCGGTATAACAAATCACTATTAAAGTTCGAGTAATAATATCATAGTCACCCCAAAAACAATTAACTTGTTGCAGCCTTACTTTTGTTGTCAGCTCCCCATTCGGAATTTGAAGTCCAACAATATCCGGATGAATCAGTGAGCATGCACAAAACAAAGTAGGAAGCTAGTTTGGAAAATGGAAACACTTTCATTCGCCAGCTGGAAATATTCCCATTACTTTGATTTCATTGAGAGAAAAGATGAAAAAGAACATCGTTGTTCCACAAAGTTAAGACTAAGACACTAAGACTCTTTCTACTGTGGAAAACACAACCTCAGACCTCCTGAAACACTAACCATGACCTACAGCACAATGATGTGAAGCTCGTGGAAATATACCCCACCAGAGCTGAGCCCTCCTCGGCTGTGGAGGAAGGCTGTAGCACTACACCGGCTAAACCAAAACTAGATTTGACTTTTGGACAGCTGCAGGCTACAAGCAACCAGGAGGTTTGAGGCTGGATATGTGATGGATGAACTGTTGCACTTATGCTTAGTTTTTCAGACACATCCTTCGAAAAATACCAGGCAGGCAACAGAAGAGCCTCAGGTAAGAGGCACACATGCAAAGTCTGAATTTTGAGGAGAAAGGATTCAATAACTGATTTTGTGTGCTATAAAAGTGATACAACAACTAGTGTGATGAATTACTGTTGACAGAGGTATAACTTTTTAAAAGCATGAAAGTAATTAGTAATAAATTGTATTTTTGAGCAACAAGCCCAACACTGGGCTTCCATCACATATCTTTCATCCTGTGTGTTTTTTAGGTAACACTTTACAATAAGGTACACAAAATTAAAGTAGTTACTGAGGAACTAATGAGGAACTAATGAGGAACTAATGAGTAGTTACTGAGGAACTACGGTACACAAAATTAGAGTAGTTACTGATGAACTAATGAGTAACTAATGAGGAACGAATGAGTAACTAATGAGGAACTAATGAGGAACAAATGAGTAGTTACTGAGGAACTAAGCTACACAAAATTAAAGTAGTTACTGGGGAGCTAATGAGGAACTAATGAGGAACTAATGAGTAGTTACTGAGGAACTACGGTACACAAAATTAGAGTAGTTACTGATGAACTAATGAGTAACTAATGAGGAACGAATGAGTAACTAATGAGGAACTAATG